ACTTTCCTCCACCTTCAAAGCATTATTGCTTTTCCCAATAATTTATGTATTCTCATGATGTGACTAAAATACAGTAGCCTCAGTTCAGTCATCCTGGCTTCCAGGGAGATTACCAGTTTGATCTGTTCTAGGATGCGTTTGTTTGTCTTTGGGGCTGTCTACAGAATCCTTAGCACTCTTCTCCGACACCACATCTCAAATGAATTAATTTCCTTCCTGTCTTCTTTCTTAACTGTCTAACTCTTACATCTATACATGATAATAGTGAATACAAAGCCTGGACTACTGCAGTGCTAATTTAGAGCTTGAGACTTGGGGTAAAATGTATAAATGCATTTAAAGGCTGCCAATCTGTTGGAGACATATGCCAGAGTACGTCTTTTATTATATATATAGTCATTACAGAGTGTGCAATTCACTTCCACATTCTGCAACAACCTCCTCCACAAGACTCACCTTTGTCCTGTGGCAGCTTCCCCTGAAATGATCAAGCAGTGGGCCAGAGTGGCTAAGCAGCAGTGAGCTATATCACTATAACTAATTGACGAAGTTATACTTTGGGACCTCCATAGGATACTCGGGAGGTCCTGGAAAATATCTTTGTCACTGTGCATCAAGTGGGAAGGAATAGGAGAGATGGAGTGGAGTTCACCTGGATAGACTTTCATACTTCATCTTCTCATGCTGTATCATGCTCACAGTGTTGGTTTGTTATATACACACCCTTGAAAAATAGATGAACTAGGATGGGGGGGGGAGTGTATCCTTTCCCTGAACTGAATTCCTGAACTACAGAGATCCCCTTCCCCTGAACAGGGTAGCCAAATGAAAAACAAATACCTTTAACAGTTGTGCAGTAGGGAAATTTCAGCACAGCTAGTTGTCATTGCTATCAGTCCTGAGAGAAAAGATACCACTGATGCCAATGTTTTTTTTTTTTCCTGCTGCAGTTAATAGCAGCTTCTGGGTAAGTGTATGATTGTCTGTCTCTGTTTGCTCACACCCTAGATGAAACCCTAGATGTTAAACAGTGTGACACAGTTCTGATCTTTTCTTACTTTGTCTTCTCTTATCAAAAGAAAAAAGCAGACACATTAAATGCATTTATTTGCATTTAATCTTATGTTTTTGCTCTTAGACTCCCACACTGATTTCACTGTCACCACCTACCTTCCCAAGTATTATACTACTAAACATTTGTATTTCAGAAAGCATTTCACATTCCTCAGTAGGAATGTTTCTTTCCTTCTAGCAGCTGCAGACTTGGTGTGAAGGTTTTTATTTTGAATTCAAGCCTTCCCCTCATGGAAAGGCTATTGTGCCTTTAAACAATTTTAGGGATGGGCAGGAATTAAGTAATTGCAGACTTCAGCATATGAAAACAACATATTTACCACATTGGAGAAGTCACCCAGAACCTTCCAGACCAGGGGTAGGCAACCTTTCCCCTTTAAGGGCCGAGGAACTTCAGCTCCCAGAAGCCTCAGCCATGTTGGCCAATAGTCCCATGTTGGCCAATAGCTCCTGGGATTCTGGGAGCTGAAGTCCCTCGGCCCTTAAAGGGGAAAGGTTGCCTACCCCTGTTCCAGATGTTTGGACCTTGTAATCCAAAATATCTGGAATGTACTGAGTTTCTTATTCCTCCTATTACACAGTTACACAAGAATGTGGTTTTAAAAAATGATGAAGGCACACCTTCTCTAAACTGAAATCTACTCATGTTCTAATGATTAGAGTGCTACAGTCAACCCTCAGTATCCATGGGGGGAATCCATTCTGGACCCCACACACACTACGAATACCAAAATCTGCAGATACTCAAGCCCATGTTGTCCCAAATGGAGGTGCATGCACATGGACATACACAATTAGGGACAGCCCCTGTTGTCCCATGGTAGTGCATGCACACGGCTGCACTGCCATTGTGGAGAATGAAACTTAATGGCAGCATGGCCATGTGCATATGTGATCATGGGACAGCAAGGGCTATCCCTAATGGTGGCACAGCC